TGGCACAGGACAGAGCGGAGTTTAGGGCTGTTGTACATAGGGTCGCTATGAGTCGCAGGCGACTCGATGGCACATAACAACAACAACAACAGCTTACTCTTAGGCAGCTCTTATACTCTAATATTAAGAAGTTGTGCTGCAACCTCAAAGTCGCACAGTTTTAATCCACCGGCTTCTCCACAGGAGAAGGATGAGCAATCTCCTCCCACTATTAGGACAAAGAATAAACAGTTCTTGGATTACACATTCATACTTCAATGACACAAATTATTTCGAATCCAAAATTGTGAGAACAACAGGGCTTTGAAAGAAATATGTTGCTGCAGTGTTCAGCTTTGCCATAATCAGTTTGATAATTAGAGAACATCAGTTGAAGTCAGTAGATGTTGACATTCATTAAAACTGCTCACAGTAATTCTAAGATTACAGTCACGTTTCATGGGGTCAAGAATCACTTCAAAGTTCACATAGGGGTATATGGATTGAGTTCCTCATTTTGAAACCAAAATTTACCAAGTTGTATTTACTTTCTTTTGCATACCTTCTCCTTCTTTCTCTCTTTACTTTGTACGTATTAGGTATACATCTTTTCATTGAAGCTCAGTAACAGGATGCAAGTATAGAGAGATATTTATTGATAAACAGAAGACATATTGCTAATATATTTATTGATATATGTGTAGTCACTTTATTTTTCTTACATGTTTACTTCCATATCTGTACAATTTAGATTATGATCCGTATAGAAATTATTTCTATACAAGAAAAGGCAACACATGTAACTTTAACTTTTACCTTCTTACATCCCAGAAACTATGCAGGTAACTCACTTCAGAGATTAACCATCATTATTATTTGAACTAAAAAAAAAAAGACTGTGCGAGTATATATATATATATATATATATATAAATATATATATATATATATATGTACACACACACACAATCAGGCTAGACTCTAAACAGTAGTTAATTTTGAGTTTTCTATTTTATTACAAGGGTATGCCTATCATCACTCTCTGTGTCTGATCGTGAATAAGCCTAAACTTATAGTGCTTCTTTTAAATGGAAGGATAGATATAACTACTGGTCTTATTGTAATTTTTCACTTGATATATGCTGCTTTATCAAATATAGCTTGTATATTTATATCATGTGCTTCTTTTAGTATACTTCAAGTTTATCTTACCGGTTGATAAAAATGAAAAGATTATATAAAGCAGCAGGAATATGCTGACAATTGGATACACTAGAATGTCAAATATTAAGCCTCTGCATTATCATTTTATTTTGGTGTGTTTGCCAACTTGCACTTCTTTGGAAACATTTCTATGAGAATTATTTTTGTTTAAAGCCTTATAGAAAGCTCTGTGAAGTCCCTACATTCAGTAAATAACAAAAATAAATTCTTTTGCTTCAAACTTAACACCTTTCAATCAGTTTTTGTTCTTTCTTTAGAGCTTTTTAATAAATGTCACTGCTGAAACAGACATACAGGTGATTGTCCAGTGAGTTTTGTAGAGGCTATAACTTGCAGGGAAGGAAATTGCCCATCTTTCTCCTTGGAGCAGCTGATGCATTCAAATTGCTTGACTTTGGACAACATAACTCTTACCAGCGAGGTTACCAGATAGTGTATTAATATTAGTGCCTACTCTGGCCTAGTGATATAAACCTGCACTATAGTCCCAAATGAACGTAGTTTGGATCAGCCAGTTATTCCATGGAAAAAGGATGGCAAATCTCTTCCCATGCTATTAAATGCCTCTGAAAATCCACTGAGGGTTAGTTATGGGTCAGTTCCAACTCTGCAGTATTCAACAACAACAACATTCCTGCAAGTTTTGTTATAAGACTCTTTTACATATTAACCAACAGTCAGTATTATATAAATAGATTAAACATCATGTCAAAGATCATAATGATATTTGCGGTGTCCCTGGTTTTGTTGTTTTCATATATTTAAGAAGTTTTGGAAGCAGGGGTGGCATCCACTTCCTAAATAACTCTATAAACTTTGATAACTGTCGATAGTTGTAGAGGGGCTTCAGGCCTTTGGTTCATAGGGTCGCTATGAGTCACGCTTGACTTGAAGTCAGTCAACGACAACAACACACATTTAAAAAGTAATCCTATCCATTAATCATGTAAAAAGGGCTATATTTACTAACATTTTGTCTTTATCCTAATTGTTTCTCAATATTTTCTTCTTGTGTATGTTTACTGTTGTGTACTTTTTAAAGTTTTCAAAAATATTTGAAATCACATGTGCACACACATACACACATGAACATCAAGTATTTATCAAAAACTTTATAGAGATTATTTTTGAAGTTTAGACCATATTCTTGGCTTATATATTATATTTCTTTTCCCTACATTCCTCAAATCCTGGAGTCATCCTAGTATCCTCAGCATTTCTCTCAGGACATAGCTGCTTAGAGTATATGGCTTCATTGACTTCTGTCCTTCAACAAAGATCTAAGGGAGCTTTAGAGATTTGCTTTGAGTCAGGAATAACACATTAGCCGTAAGGATGTTTTGTGGCATTTAATACTCTACTATTGTTCACTGCTGTCAAATTATAACTGGCCCTCCAGTGAGTTTTCAAAGGCTGTAAATTGCATCGGAGAAAGACTACTTATCTTCCTCCCACGCAGCAACTGGTGGATTCAAACAGCTTGCCTTTGGGTTGACAGTACAAGCCTTTACCACTTTGCCACCAGAGCTCCCTGATACTTGATTTTGTTGTTCTTGAGGTTGTGTGTCTTCAAGTAAAATTTGACTCATACTTGATCCTCCAAGGGGGTTTTCAGAGGCAGTAAATTGCATGAGAGGAGATTGTCTATCCTTCTCTGGGACCAGCTCATGGTTCAAACAGCATGCCTATGGGACTGCAGTGCAGCTTCTTACCACTAGGTCAACAAAGGGGACCTAGAAATGAATGGTTGATTCGTTGGTTCATTGATCAAGTTTCCTATTCCCTTTCTCATATTT